ATATATATAAAAAAAAGAGGAATCTCATTCTCTTACAGTGCTGTGATAGATTGCTGTTTCCAGTGGTTATCTCAGAATCTATAAGGATGGATGTGGTTGAAGGCAAATGAAGACTTGGGGTGGTGATAGTAGCTTCTGATACAGCTTTGAGGATGACTTCAGCAGTGTTATTGGCACTGCCGATTACACTTGTGATGGTTGTGGTACCGGCAGTACGGGATGCTGCAGTTGTAGATGCCAGAACAGTAGTTGAAGTAGTTGGAAGATCTGAAAAGCAAGAGCAAACATGAAATTTGGTAAAAGTAAGTACACAAAGCAAATCACAAATGGTGATATAAATCTGGGGAGGATTGTTATGTTTACTGATTAGAACCAGAAATCAAATTCCAGTTCTATTCACCAGGTAGTCAGATCATTGATAGTTCTCTGCCTAAAGCTACAGACATGATTTCCTGAAGTCAAGCTTTATTTATTAAAAGTAACAAAGCACTCTGGATGGAAGGTAGTTACGAAGTTCAAAAACTTAGGGTTTTTTTCAGTACCTCAGAAGATCCTGAATTTGTACCAGGAACTATTTACATGTTAGGGACAACTACACTGATACCACTCCTCTCTTCAGGATATTATCAGCAACAACTGTGGCCTCTCCAGATCCAGAATCTATAGGCAAAGACATGGCAAATTTTAATGATTTATTGACTACTCACACTTTCAGTGGTGTGCATTATCCCTTTCTTGTTATGCTTTCAAAAATGGGCAAGTTTTCAATAAAGGACACCACAATGCAGCAACTATGTGGAATACACCCTAAGTATGATTTTGTTGGAATAGCAGAACAGTGACGTGATTGTATTTACCTTTGTAGCATTTTTTCATGTCAGGACCCAGCCACATGTTGTCAGGACAGGCACATGTATACTTGGGAGAATGGGGGGAAATCTGAGGTGCAGGAAGACACAAATACTCGCAGCCTCCATTTGGTTGGGGGCTGAGCTCACAGGAGTCTGGAGCTGTTCAAGGATGGAGGAAAAAACAAGTTATTTTTCTAATTATTTCTTGTTCTTCGCAAAGAAATATTAAGTCTTGTAACATGAAGCTCTTCTACTCCCTACCTCAATTAATCAGGATGCTTAAGTATCTTTACAGTAGTGAAACATTACACACGACTATAAAAACTGCCCAAATATATAATGAATGGCAAACATCACAGTGACAAGAGTAACTCACTATTATCAAAGATGCTAATTAAACAGCTATTAACAAATTGCAGACTTGTCAATAAATCTGCTGCTGAATGAATTATGCAGGAACTTCAAACATGAGACATTGATTTCACATTATTACCTGTGCTTTCTGTCTCATCAAGAACCATCAGGAAGCAATTTACTAACTAAATAAACCTGATTTAGGGCCACGGTACCCCGAGGACATGTCTTACCTTTGGGCTGCTTTAATTCATGAAATACCACGATGTCATGAGGATTATTGAGATTTTCTGCCAAAACGGAGATGTCCAAGCCATTCAGCCTGTTTGCGCTGAAGATTGCTTCATTCTCCAGGTCAGTCCAGAACACTCTGTCCTGCAGGAAATGTGTCAGATTTCTGACCTGGCCCTGCTCAAATCCAACTCAAGTTGGATTAAACTCCAGTAGTCACAAAGTCAACGCACTGTGTTCCTACCTTGGGGCACCTTCGGTTCACGCTACTTCTATCCGCAGCTTTTTTCTTGGATACTGTCATTTCTTAATGTTTAAAAGCACAGCAAACTGACACATTTATAAAGTGCATAGTAATTCTGAGTAGCTGTGAGACTCAGACAAGGGAGCAGAAATTTGGGTAAGTACAGGAGAGTTGCATCCATTTGGTTCTGAACCATTTTTTTTTAAAGTCAGGGTGGATCATGGGCAGAACTAAAGGGCCATGCCAGAAACTTGTTATCTCTGCTGATTTTTTTCTCCTTTCCAAAGATAAGACCTGCATTAAGCAGGTATCTACAAAGAGGCCAGTGCCTACGGCACACCTGAAAGATGAGTATCTACTTCTTTTTTTATTAATATTTTCCTCGTTTTATTAATATTTTTGCATGGTATACTATGATAGAATATACAAGATAACTGGTGAAGGAGGTACACGGGAATTGCAGTTATCAAACAGTATTTAGTTGCTTGGTCAGCTAGGTATGCTGCTGCCTGCTAAAAAACACATGTATTTCAGTAAGGAAAGCCACATTGCTGGAGAACAAGGGCAAATTATCAAAAGCAAAAGGGTTGTCTGTTATTCTAACCAGCCATTCACCTAAGGAAGGGTTGTACAGAGGTTAAAAAACCGAAGAGATCCTTCCAAAAATTGCCGATGAGGCTAAAGCTAAAGAGCACCAATGTCTTGGAGAAACCTGCACCCAAAGTTAGATGCCTAGATATCACACAGGTTGCATAAGGATTGTAAGGAAGAGGGGTTTGCTGAGTCAAAAACCAACCTAGTTAAGTGAAAGGAAAAGAAAGGAGGCTGTGACCCACGTCTTGACAGGGAGGCAACCAGACACCTGTGCTATAGCTTACCGAGACTGAGGTGCCAAAGTTGAAGCTTTTGTTCCCATTAATCATTTAAATAATCACAGAAAGGAGCTTAGCTACAAGACAGAAGACTTCACTGCCCCAGGCTAGTGATACATAGTCATCCTCTACCAGGGGAGCAAGAGCTGGATTGTGTCTCTGCTTCCACCCAGGCAAAGCGAGGATTTGAATTATGTCTTCCATGGAGTACTCCTGAGATAGGATGTGGAACGCAGAGTTTCGAACACATGCTTAGCATGAGGTACAAACTGGAAGGAAGCCATTAGCTCTGGGCCTTGCCACTGGGTAACTGCATATACACTAATGGCAGAAAAGTGGATGCCCACTGACATAGTAATTTTGGCAGATCTCAGCAGGTCTTAGTTCTTCCTTGACATTTGAGGATCTGAACAGTACCACTTAATTAATTATTGCACTGCTCTTAGTAAGGCTACAGTGTGACACTGAATGGTACAAAAGTACTGAATCTACAAGACTAACAGTTTTCAATAGAACATACTCAAGTAGGAGATGGAAACCCAACACCTTTGTGAAAATAGACTTATGTTTTTGTAGGATCACAGCTCTACTTTTTTTGGACAAGGAAGTTTCTCTGATGTGTGGCAGGGTTTATGTGTCATAACTGGAGCAGCTTAGTCTGAAAAAGAATTATCTGACCCTTTCAGGACAAGGTGAACAAGCACCTTTTCCATGCCAAGTCCCCAACCTCAGCAATGCACTGGTGCACACTGACTGCAGGGGGAGCCCCATGAGTGCCTTGCTGGCACTGATGCTCCCAGCTGGAACCTTGAGACTCCTGAGACAGGTGAAAGTGTTTCTGACGATACTTCTGCAGATGCTGGGATGGACAACAGCAACAACTAGCCAACACAGCAAAATTTAAGGGGCTGTCCTCCCCTGAGGGTTCCGTTGGCACCAGAAAATGCAACACAGGTATGCAAAGATGGTGTAAACAAAGCTGCTGAGAGCAGCAGAGCACTCTGCTGCAGGCTGAGAGGTTGCTCTGAGCCCAGGCAGCTCCCCTCAAGATACAACTTTCAAAGACATGTTGCAGTGTCACTCAGTGAACGGTTGTCCCACCTGCTGATCACAGTAAGTGGCTTCTTCCCTTCCCTTGCCTATAGTTTTGGCCTTTGCATGGACAGTGGGCTCAATTCAAATCAAGGAAAACCCATTTTCCAATTGGTGTTAACTGGGCACCACCTGCCCCTCATGGACGCACTGGTACTACATCAGGTAAAAGCATGAGACAACGCATTGCTCCTGATTAAGGGCTTTAGAAAACAATTTTCCCTGCTGAA